ATTGATTTACAACTTTGATGACAACTTCTGCTTTCTTGAAAAGTATAAAAAATCTGCTGAGACTCGGCTGTGTGGGAAGCACTTCCTCAAGGCTGTTGAGATTATGTTTCTGTGGTAGCTCAAACTGTTTTAGAGGACCAGCAGTTAGCATAATGGCTATGTCGCTGGACTCCCATGTAGTCAATCGCAGTTCAAGTCTTAGACCCGGTGGCTTAAACTCACGCCGGGCACATGTGTGTGTGAGCCCAAGATCCCAAGAGGAGAATGGAGGAGAAGGGATTGTGGCATGGCTATCCCCCCTAGGGATGATTTCTCAGCAGGTGGCGTGGTGGTTAAAACACTGGACACTCCCACAAGGTTGACCATGGTTCAAGTCCTGGACCTGGTGGCTTACTAACTCACTTTCTCCCTCCCCCTCTCTCTCTCTCTGTGGGTGTCTCTCTCTGATCAAATGAAAATAAATGAATGAATAAATAAAATTAAAATAAAATAATTATTTAAAAAAATTGTTTTAGAATAAACCTCTTTCAATATTTTACATTTGTTTATTTTTTGGCCAACACCAGTAAGAGACGTGAAGCAGCTCCACCCTCCCTTTCAACCTGAGAAGAAGGCTGAGGCATAACAAGTGATATTAAAACAGCTGGCTTTTTTTTTCTTTTTATTAAGAGGTTTTTGCTATGGGGCATGTGTACTCGCCAGAAAGACAGAGACAGAAAGCGGGAAATTATCCCCCGGGGGGATGGCCACGCCACAATTCCCTGTCCTCCATTCTCCTCTTGGGATCTTGGGCATGCACGCATACATGCGCGGCATGAGTTTAAGCCACCGAGTTTGGGACTTGAACCGTGGTCGACTACATGGGAGTCCAGTGACATAGCCATTATGCCATCTGCTGGTCCCTAAAATGGCTTTTTTGGGCCAGGGCTTTAGGAAGAATCACCCAGACTGGCACACTTCCAGTTTCTCAGACATGTGCTTATCAAAATGGTGATCAAAAAAGCTAGCTTATAGAACAAAGAAAAAGGGCAGAGGACAGGTGGTTAGCAAGTCACTTGTTAAGAGTTTACACTGGTAAGCCAGCCAGTGGTGTGGTGGTTAGTGTGACTGGATACCTCATGGCTGACCTGTGCAGTTCGAGTCCTGGACCTGGCAGCCTGAAAAACACAACAGGTGCATGGGTGCATGTGCACACATGCAAAATCCCTAGAAGAGAAAGGATTGTTGCACGGCCAGAGGGTAATTTCTCACTCCACCCCCCCTCATCTTTCTTTGGGGAGCACATGTACCCTCTAGCAAATTAAAACAAACAAATGAATGTATATTGGTTCATTTAAATAATGCAGGCAATGGATTAGTTATATATTATTCTTTACATTATAAACCCAAAAATACTGGGAAGAAGGGTGCAGGGGGGAGGTCACATTGTAAAATCTAGAGTTGTTTTACACCTTGTTTACTGTAAACTAAAACATGTATTTTGGGGTATGAGCAACCAAAGTCTCAGGCTTATGGTTCACTGAGGCCTCTGAGACGTAAATGGACCTTATGTTCCCCAGACTGCTTTGTGTTGTTTTTCTGTCACACCTTAAGGCTGAAGGAGCATACATATACACTGTCCAGCATAAAACAACAATGAATCTCTTCTGTTCAACTTCTTGAAGCCTTTATTTTATTAAATGAAGTGTTGTCATATTTTAGAATCACAAATAAAGCCAATTAAGATCTGTAAATTGTTTTATTTTCATTCTTTGGCATAGTGATTTATGTGTTAAGAGAGGAAAGAGGTCAGGACTAGCAAGTGGTGGAATGGTTACAACACTGGACTCCCACATACTCAACAGTGGATCAAGTCCTGGACCTGGCAGCTTAAAAGTCATGCCGGGCATATGTGTATCCATATCCAAAATCCCAGGAGAATTGAGGGGAAGAGATTGCAGCATGGCCAATGACCATGGTCTCCCTGGTGAGCACACATGTCCTGTAGCAAAAATCTCTCAGAAAGAAAGAGAGAGAAATATAATTGACCCAGCCTAATTGGCACAGGTGGTTGTGTACTGAAATACAGTGCTGGAAGCTGCAAGGCTGAGAAGTTTTGATCCCTAGCTAGGTCAACTTGAAACATACCAGGCGCACGTGCATACTGGAAGGCTGGAGGGAGGGGAGTGCAGTATGACCAGACCCTATCGAGGGTTTCTCTTTCTCTGCTTGTGTGTGAACACATGCTACCATGAATAATATACACTTAAAAAAATGTTGATGAATTTGATTCTTCACAGCTGAAAGTGGCAGCAGTGACGTCAATACTAGTTTATATATATATATATATATATAAATTTAGAGGTTTTTTTTTTTTTTTTTTTTTTTTGCCATAGGGTATACATACTCTCTGGAGACAAGAGAGAGGGGAAGTGAAAGCTGGGGGAATGATCATGCTGCAATCCCTTCTCCTCCATTCTCCTATAAGGACTTTGGGCGTGAACACACATGTGCCCAGCATGAGTTTAAGCTACTAAGTCCACCACTTGAACTGTGGTCAGCCATGTGGGAGTCCAGAGCCTTATCCACCACACCTCCTCTTGGCTCCTACTTAAAATCAACCGGATATCACAAACATGTTATGCCACTGTTTGTATACTGTATGTGTCGTAGGAACTACCCAGAATTTCAATCTACAAAAAAATTAAAGAAAGAAAGGAAGAAAAAGAAAGAAAGAAGAAAGAGAAGACGAGAGGGAAAAAACACAATCTGTTTCAAATATGAATTTAACTTTATTTCAAGCAGATACAGATGAGAATACCTTCCAAGAGCAAAAAAAAAAGAAAAAGAGAAAAAAACAACCAAAAAAACCAGTAGTCTGATTATTCACTAGCCAGCCATACTATGAAACTTGCAAATACATACAGATTGCAATCCACAATCCAGAATTTAGCAGAAACCAAACTTTTGCTTTTTTGGAGCAAACGTAGCCAATACTTCAAGAGATAGAAAATAGTAAACCATAATGGTAAAGAACTTAAGAATCACCAAAAACTATATGTATAATCTAGTTTTTAAAAATGTTATTTAAGCTTCATAATGGTAGAGAATTTAAGAATCAGCCAAAAACTAAATGGATCATCTGATTTTAAAAAAGAGAAATATTATTGAGTTTAAGCTTTTTCAACTCTCTGGACAAAGAAAAACATTCTGTGTTTGTAAGTTCTTCAAATAGGGCTTCTTCAGAGGAAATTTGCTTTGAGTACTGTACAGGAATCCATCTGAGCGAAGCCAGGGAAAAGGGAACCCCTGTACCTGCTCCATGGAGGAGAGACACCCTGTAGGAGGCAGTACAGACCTGGCTCCACGAACTCTGGCTTTGAACCCCAGCAATTGCACTTATTAACGATGTGACCTTTGAGAACTTATTTATCCCTTGGTGCACTGGTTTTCTGTTAGAGAATGGGGACACTGATCATATCAATCACACAGATGTAAAGCTCTTATGAAGGGGACAAAATAAGTACTCCATAAACGTTAGCTATTATTATCTGACCACAACAATTACACGCATGTATGTGTATCTTTAAGAAAAGAAGAGGACATCGTGCTCACCTTTTTTTTGTAGAGACTGGGATAAGGATGATGAGATAATTTGTTATTATAGCTTTCTTCTGACTTGAAGAACCATTTAAAATTAAACTTGAAAAAAAAATAAGTAAAATTTGACAAATCACCTTTTTTCTGTCCAGAGAGAATCAGGGAGAAAGATTTTAAGGGAGAAAACATGAATGGGTAGAACTTAGTAAAGGGATGAAAAATGACTACAGTGGGAGCTTTGGTTACCACAAAAGAATAAATGATAGAATCTAAAGTCGTTTACACATTAAAACTGAAAGTGGGGGTGCTCAAAGGCACAATAATATCCAGAAGAAAAATGCTCTGGCATCTGCAGCACTACGGTGGCAGGGCAAGTGCACCTGTACGGTGGATTACAAGGATTACAAGGAACAGGAACGAGCACGTCGGGGGCCTGGTTAGAGTTCAGATGCCAAGTGCTCCAGAGTAAGGAACTCAGCTTTCCTTATCAATGGTGAAGACTGCAGAAATGGCTTCCTTATTCCAGCCTGTGCCAGAGATGTAGGGAGTATATATCCCTCCAATGAAATACTAGCAAGCAACCTGAGTCAGATAACCAAAATGTATTAAGAACTGAGCCAGCAGGTGGCGTGGAGGTTAGGGAGCTGGGTCCCACATAGCAGGCTACATAGTTTGAGTCCCGGACCCAGTGGCTTGGAAATCATGCCAGGCATGTGTGCATGTGTGCCCAAAATCCTGAAAAGAGACTAGAGAAGAAGGGATTGCAGCTATCCCCTCAGGGGATGATTTCTCTTTCTCTCTCTGACAAGCACAAGTAGCCTATAGCAAAAACTAAAAATAATAAAGATTCCATTGGGTTTTTAAAATATATATACACATTATATATATATATATTAAGAGTCAACTGTACACTAGGATTGATGTGAAAAATAATACCTTGTCCCATTTATTACCAAAGGTTGCCCCATCTCTGCTCCTCACTTTTCTTGCCATGGGAGAGAGAGGAGAACATGGGTACCTAATTTTCCAGAAACAAAGGCCTTTTTCTTTGTTTTCCCCATTTACGGTAGGATTTCCCTTTCACGAGTGAGATTAAGGGGAAAATAAAGAAACCAATAAACTAAAGGACCACACCAGCAATAGAAACAAAACAAGGATGGGCCAGCTCTGTAGCACAGTGGTTAAGCCCTTTGCATTGGGAGGTGGATCGCACGTGGCCATAGGTTCCAACCCCGGCCCAGTGGCTTGAAAAACAGGTCGGGCACGCCTGTGTGTGTGTCCCAAATCCTGATGGGATGGAGAAATGGAGGGAAAAGGATTGTAGTGTGCACATGCCCCACTGGAGGGTGCTTGCTTTCTCTCTCTCTCTCTCTGTGGTGAGGTCACAGGCCCTCTGGGAAAAGGAAAAGACAAACAAACACAAAGGATCAACCGGAGCTATTATTCCATTTGAAAAACATAGAAAATGACTTCAGACCCACTCTAACATCAACAATGGCACAAGACTGAGATGTGGTACTTCTTCTGCAGGACAGCTACACAGATGTTTGGGGCTTTTGTCTTCCCTAGAAAGTATCACTTTGGAAATGACATACTAGCAGATTCTTACTCTTACACAAACCATTTCTCGAGATGAAAAAATTTAAAAGGCATTTCTACATAAGAATTTAGAGCATTAACTCAACCTCTAAAATACATCTTTGGAAAACTTGGGTTAAGGCCTCCTCCAGCAGTTTCCTTACTCGATTCCTTTAGCCTTCAGCTCCTTTTTGACACGTTCCAGGTAAAGAGGATCAGGGTAGCCATAACTGCAGAAGGAAAATTCTGTTAACTTCATCACAAATGTCTTCAATCTATATAATAGATATTTGGCATTTGAGATTTTAACATTCAGGCTTGCAAAAATTGACAGGTAATCCTGAAGATAAATAGCTTATAGGCACTTCAAGTGTGAAGATAGGAGTCTTCTTAGCCAGTGAATGAGCCTCGCTATCTGACCATCATCTGCCTTCCAACTACTTTCGTATTCTCAGTTTACTGTAAATCCTGTGTCTCATAATATTATAATAACATATTGTATTTTATAGGGGAAGGTTATAATCATATGCTAGCAGGATTTTAAAATTTGGGGGGTTAATTTTTTTTTTAAAGTTTTGCTATACACCATATGCACCTGCTGGAGAGAGAGAGAGGGGGAGAAAATGAGAAAGCACCCCCAGGGGGATGCCCACGCTGCAATCCCTTCTCCTCTCTTCTCGTGAGCTTTTGGACATGCTCACACACAGACCTGTTTTTTGTGTTTTTTAAGCTGCTGGGTCCAAGACTGGCGTAGTCACCATGTGGGACCTAGCTGCCTTAACAACCACGTCATCTAGTTGGCCCGATTTGGAAAGTCAAGATGTATTTCTTTTTGAATACCAATACTCTATTGGTGTTTCATAAAGAACAATTGGATTTCCCGTAACAGCTTCCCCATACAGCTGAGGCTTTTTCTAGAGTGCTATTGGTCAAGTGAGTTTGAATTCTCTGTGGATGGATAGGGGGGAGAGGAGAGAAAGAAAACAAAATAAATAACATCCTTAGGATGTTCCCCTCGTGTGAAGCCCCAAGTTAAATTAATTTAGCTATCATTCATCTTTGATTCTGAACCCCACTGCCCTTTGGTGCAAAATTTAATAACCACATAATCCTTTGCAGTTGGAAGGATAGAAGGTTCCAAGGTCCAATCCTTCTGTCTCTGAGGTTACCACCCTAGATCAGCACCTCTTGAAATGCATTACTATTCCCAATACCACTACGATAAAGTCTCCTGATAGCCACATTCTCAGACTGCTGTATTTTACTATTTACACTCTACTTAGCAATCATGACATTTCAAAAGACTCACTTTTCTGGTCCTCCAAATATAGCCGTTTTGTGGTGGATATCATTCCATGTAATGACATCTGACATTCCTGATACTCGAGAGTCTCCCACCGTGAAAATCAACTTTTGGGCAAAAGCCCTATGGAGCAGTTCCAACACCTCTCTTCCTTCCTTGTTATCTGGCAGGTATGCAGTTCGATGTGTTCCCAAATACTTTTTTCCTGGGTTTGGGTGCTCTTGCTGTATGAAGACAATAACATGTAATGTGAAAATAATCTAGTCTAAATTTTACTTTATACACTAACAAGTTCATTTGTAGATGCCTAACTCCCTCCAACCTAACAGATAATCTCCGCCCCCACTTTCTCGGGATTAAGAAATAGACACAATAGATATCTAAGTAATAAGCTTTACTGTGACCTTTTTTCTTCTTACGGCCAGAGGGTGCATGCACTCACCAGAGACACAGAGAGGGAGAGAAAGCAAGCACTTCCCAGTGGGGCATGGTCGTGCCACAGTTCTTTCTCCATTTCTACATCTTAGTGGGATTTAGGGCACAACCGCACACATGCCCAACCTGTTTCTCAAACTGCCAGGGCCAAGATTCGAGCTGCAATGGTCACGTGGGGTTCAACTTCCTTAACCACTAGATGGTGGGGTTTCAATCCTTTGCATATGACCATAGAAATAATTCTATGGGAAATTGACTATCTAATAGGCAACAGGACAATCTTTTCCTCTGGTGATCCTAGCACAGTGGAAAGACATCCATGGACCTCAGAAACACTTACTGTTTGTACACCTCCTTTCATATCATAACGAATCACAATAGTGCCACAGGATTCATAACCTGGAAGTGAACTTCTCGTAGTACTAGTAATCATGTTTCCTTCCGGCTGATTCCCTTTCTGGACACCATAGACAGTCTGACACATAGGGCAGACCGGCTTGTATGCCATGGCTTTGTCGATACAAGAGGTGCAGAATTCATGCTTGCACTTCGGCAGGATGCGTTTGTTACTAATGGTGTCCATACAGATGGCACAAGCGTCCTTTTCCTTCTTGTCCACTTCGGAGGCCTCAGCATGGGCCGAGCCCTTGAGTGGAGGTGATGCTGCATTTGAGTCATTACTATCAATGTCCATGGGCATCTCATGATCCTCATTCTGTTTCTCTGCAGACAATGGAGATGTTCCCCATCTTTTTAAGACATACTGCTTTGCCTTTGCAATGTGATCTGCCAAACCAGTCAGAGTCATTGACTCTTGAGTGAGTGCAAAGAGTATATTTGGATGGTTTTTTTTAAAATCATCAGCAAACTTATTCCCACGTAAGTGTTTTCTCTCTTTGCCTAAAAATTTCAGTGGAAGAACTTCTCTCTCCAACTGACAGAAGGCATGTTGAATGGCATCGATGCAATTTGCATAAGCGTGTACAGATAGATCTACTTCCTTGTCCTTAGGTTCAAATAGAATGCAAGTTTTCTGGCTTTTTTCCAAAACCTTACTGTGAGTGTTGTACTTTCTATCTATCTCTGATATCTCCTGGTGTAATTCAGCTTCAAAAAGCTTATAGCGAGCAGTATCAACCTCAATTCCATTCATCTTGAAATTGGGAGCTAGTATTTTCACAGGTGTCTTAACAAAACTTTCAGAGATTTTTTGCTTAGCCACTGAAATGTCATCTTGGGTCCCAAGGAGGATCAATTCTCTTCCATTCTCCTTTATAAGGAGCTTTGTAAATCGGCGATTCAGTTCCTGTTTGGTTTTATTTGCCTGCTTACTGTCTGCTAGCGGTACACATTCCTGTCTCAGACGTTCTGTGTTCTTCTGAAACTCACTGACAAAAGACCCACGAGCTGCTTCGAGGTTGTCTGACTGACTGGAGATGAAGTCTAAGAAGACCGTATTTGGAGACTTGATTTGACTTTTGATGTGTATGCCAAATTTTTTCTCTATCGAGTGTATTTTATCAGGACAGATATAGTTGAAGTATTCAAAGAAAGGCAAGGGGACTTCAAAATGGCTGTTTTTTTCTTCTGACCTGGTTTTTGGTTCAGAAGGAGAAATGTTGCTGTTCCTGTCCTCCTGACTGGGCGGCGTCCTCTCTGTTGCTGAAGGCAAAGGTGCATGTTTCCGCTCACTTTCCAGGAGCTGCTGACTCAAGAAATTATGTATTTCTTCAATTTCTTTGAAGTCACCACACACCTTCTCAATTCCATCACGACCCTCCATTTTTTTGACATTGGGGCAGATGGAGGTTACATGTGCCCTCTGCTCCTTGGAGAACAGGTCACAGTTCAGGTCAGCTGTTACAGTAAGAAAGATCTGAAATGTTAAAAGGAACAGGAACAAATTAAAATCTCAGACATCCAGGCCTACAATCTCTTCTTCAGGAGAATGCCTAGAAACTGGAGAAACAACCACTATGACCTCCCTTATCAGAGGGTGACTTCTTTCAAATCCTTTGCAGACTAACCACCAGAGGTTTTCAGTCCTGTCTACATATTGGAATTAACTGGAGAGTTAGGGGGAAAACAAACTAACTAACTAACAAATGAAAACAAGGTCTAGGCACATCCCCAGAGATTCTGATATAACTGGTCTGCCACGGAGCCCATGCACTGGCAGGTATGCACAAATTCATTCATTCATTTATTTATTTTTGTTATAGGGTACATGCACTTGACAGAGCAAGACAGAAAAAGAGAAAAGAAAAGTGAGAAATCACCTCTCGGAGAGATGGCTAAACCACAGTCCCTTCTCCTCTACTATCTCCTTGGGATTTTGGGTACACAGGCATATGTGCCCAACATGTTTATCAAGTCTCTGGATCCGGGACTAGAACTGTGCAGTCAGCCATGTGGGATGCAGCTGCCTTAACAGCCATGCCACCTGCTGGCCCAGCATCAGCATTTTTTAAAAGCTCTGTGACCAAGATCTGTGTTCTAGAGTTGCCACTATCTGTTTGACCTTGGAGAACAGGGTTAGAGAGGAGGTACTTCTGCTCTTGGACAACTTACTGTGGCCCTCACAAGAGTGTCAGCTTAGAATGGAGCTATACATCTGAGAAGGGTATTTTTTCCCATTAATGTGTTTTTCTTTTCTTCACTGTCCTCTGCAAGCCCCCTTCTAAACAATTATTAACTAAACACCTGCCTGCATGCACAGTTGCTGGGCTTTTCTTTAGAAGCTCCAACATAAAATAGAGACACCAAATTAGGATAAAGAGGACAAAGGCAAATTAGATGTAATAAAAAGCAAAATTTTTAACATTTTGCTCCCCCTCAAGAGGAGACCACATGCTACTTTCTCTGCATATAACATCCTTTCTCTAGATCTTCTAAATGTTTCCTAAATCCAGCCTCATATCCCAATCAGGGTCACCTGGAGTCTAGGCCATTCTTATCTTTCACTAAACCCACTGCAACCCTTCGTAACCAGGCTAGCCTTTCACCCTGGCCCCTTCCAACATTCGGTTTTCACATGGAAGCCAGAGTATGCCCTTGGAAATGTGAATCAGATTGTTCCACTGACCATCTGATGAATTCTCTGACATTGAAGTTAAAATCCAAAGTCCTTATCTTCATCCCCGAAAGACCTGACTTCTGGGTACCTCTCCAAGGTCCTATCACTCTCTCCCTTGTTCACTGCCCTCTCCAACAGTGGCTTCCTTGAGGCTTCTGGAGATTCAGAAAGCTTCCCTCTGCCTGGAAGGTTCTTCCCTGAGAAATCCACTTAGCTAGCTTCCTTCATTCATGTCGCTACTCTTTTTTTTTTTTTTTTTTTGAGAAGTTTTTGCTATAGGGTGCGTGCAGTTGCCAGAAAGACAGAGAGAGACAGAGAGACAGAAATCGAGAAATCACCCCCCAGGGGGGATGGCCACGCCACAATCCCTTCTCCTTCATTCTCCTCTTGGGATCTTGGGCATGCATGCACACGTGCCCGGCGTGAGTTTAAGCCACTGGGTCCAGGACTCACACTGCAGTTGACTACATGGGAGTTCAGCGACATAGCCATTACGCTAACTGCTGGTCCCCACGTCTCTACTCTTGACCTCACTTCATTCGAGTGCTTTTTCCCTCATGTTCTAAAAGGGTGGTTCTGTCACTGTCATTTGTCCTGCTCTGTTCTTCCCGCCACTTATCACTGGCAGACATTTTATTATATACTTACTTCTTTACTATTATTATCAGTTTCCCTCGCTGGTAGGTAAGATCTCTAAGGGTAGAGTCTGCAGTGTTCCTGGCTGTGGCCCCAGATGCTGCCTAGCACATGAAGTGGTTTACACCAATTTGTGCAATGAATCTCACTGGCTCCTTCTCATCTCCCAAGTATCAGGCCAAATGTCACCTCCTCAGAAGTTATTATTTTATTTTACTTTATTTTATTGAGAGAGAGATTTTTGCTATAGGGCGGTTGCACTTGCCAGAGAGCAGGAAAGTGAGAAATCACACCCAGGAGGAATGACCATGATGTAATCCCTTCTCCTCCATTCTCCTCTCAGGATATTGGGCACGCATGTGCACACGCCTGGTGTTAGTTTCAAGCCGCTGGATCTGGAACTCAAACTGTGGTCGACCAGCGCCTTAACCACCACCTACTGGTCCCCAGAAGTTATTTTTTTAATTGCCAGAGGGCATGTATACTCAACAGAGAGAGACAGAGAGATAGAGAGAAAGTACTCCCCCAATGGGGCATGGTCATATTGCACATCCTTCTCCATTTAACCATTCTGTCAATTTCGGGTGTACACACACATGCATGCATCCCATTCCCCCATTTTTTTTTTCAAGTTGTCAGGGCAAGGATTCAAACTGCAGTCAACCATGTAGGATTGGACTCCTTTAACCAGTAAGCTATGGGGCCAGCCTGAGAAGTTACTTCTGATCAGAAGTATTGCCACCTCCATCTTCTCCCTCCTCACCTTGGCTCTACTACTCTCCAGGGCAAAGCCTCATTTTATTTTCATCTAAGCACATATCACTCTGCAATAGTTTCATTTATTTATTTTTTACTTACTCATCTTTCTGTGTACTTTCCTAACCCCAATATGAACTGCGTGAGAGCAGGGACCTGTTGTGTTCACCTCTGTGTCCCAGTGCCTGAAACAGTGCCTGGTACACCAGCACAGGGCTGCCGGACCAATGATGCAAGAGGTGTGTTGCCCGGGGGTGGGGGGTGAGGGAAACTAAGACTCACAGCCAGCTCCCTCTTTCAAGCCTCACCTTTTGGACACAGGAATCCGGAGCATTTGGCATGTGTCCTTCCAAAGCATTTGAATGCTTCTTACCAGACGGTGCCTCTGCTGTGGACTGTGTGGAAGAAACGGGGAGGCTCATGTTCTTCTCTATCGGATTTTCAGTGGATTCCAGGAAAACGGTCACAGGTTTGCTGTCAAGGAAAATCTGATGCTCTTTTTTTTCCAGCACTCTCTGCTTAGCTTTAATGAAAATTAGACACACACATACACACAGAAAAGGGAGATCGCAAGTGCTCTTATTCATGCCTCTGTGCTCAGCCCCGTACCCTCCCCAAACTGCTCTCTGTATCCTGGAAGGGTGAAGTGGGCAGGGGCTGTAAGGGAGCTATTCAGAACCGAGCAGCCTAAATTTTATGGTAGAAACGAAAGCTTTGTGATAAAGCACATCACGTGTCTGTTAAAAGTCATGTTTCTAAAATTGTCTCTAGTTTCTCGTTTCAATGATATGAAATAATGCTCATTATACAACTGAGTAAAAAAAAAAAAAAGGCAGGGATCCAAAGTGCAGACTCAGAATTGTGTAAATACATATGTGTTGCCAATATTCATAGAAAAAGGCTAGAAGGAGTCTACGGCCATATCACCTGAACACCTATCACGAGGAAGAGAAAGGCTGGAAGTACACGAAATTTGTTGTTTATCTCTAAATGCTTTTCTTCCGTCTTCTCCATCCTTTTCTTTCTTCAGCATATATTACTTTTGTAATTCTCAAAAATAAATCAATAGAAGGACCAGCATATGGCATAATGGCCATGTCGTTGGACTCCCATGTAGTCGACCGCGGTTGGAGTCCTGGACCCGGTGGCTTAACCTCACAGTGGGTGCATGTGCATGCGTGCCCAAGATCCCAGAGGAGAATGGAGGAGAAGGGATTGCGGCGTGGTCATCCCCCCTGGGGGGCGACTTCTCGCTGTCTCTGGCTCTTTCTGTCTTTCTGGAGAGCGCACGCATCCTATAGCAAAAACCCCCCCCCCCCCCCCAAAATAAAATCAATGGAGTCAGTATTTAAAATATAAGTGGGGGCCAGATGGCAGTACAGCCATAAAATCCTAAACTCTACCGGAAGCTCTATGAGGCAATCCCACATGGGAAATTTCCCGGTTGGAGTGCCCTCTGCCCACTCTTGGCCAGGACCCAGGGCTGGCTGAAGATCTCAGGGTAAGGACCCTGTGTGTGTTGGGGGGCTATCTCACTCATGAAAGAAAGAAACTTAAAAAGCAAAATAGAGAAGTGGAATACTGAAATGACAAGGACAACAGCTGCCAGGCATCTGGGGGTGACGAGAGGTACTGAAAGCACCAACATAGAGGAGCGGTCAAACCAGACGGGACCTGAGCGCGCCCCGCGGCAGCCCCCGCCCCGGCCCCCGCCCCACCACGCCGCACTTGCCCGCGCACGCCCCTCGGTCGGCGTGAAGTGGGTCTGCCTGCGCCCTCCAGGGCTGGGCCTGCAGGGACGAGCTTTGCACCCAGCCCCGCTCCGCACCGAGCTGCGCAGCTCACCTTCCCTGTCTCTGAACTCCACCTGGTAGGTGCCTAGGGTCTTGCCCGGGACGCTGGGGCCGAGGAGCTGGACCGTGCACTCCCCGCCGCCCGACTGCCGGCTCTGGAAGTAGTTTTCCAGTTTCCATTGCGCCCGGCGGCTGGACTCCGACACCCGCACGAAGAGCGGGGACGGCGGGCAGGAGCTGGAAGCCATGGCTCTCGACGTCGGGCTGGGCCTGGACTGGCAGAGGCGCTTCCCGCCCCGCCGCCCCGGGCCGCAAAGTTTCAGTTTCGCTTCCCCGGAGGTCCCTCCCTGTTCCCGGCAGAGCCGTCCCCCTCCTCGCTTTGCCATCTGCGTTGTGGACGTCTGAGGACCACCAAACCTGGGAAAACAGCTTGTGCTTCAGAACCACAAAGAGAGCCTAAACGTTTAAAGACACTCCCCAGGGACCTGGAGGATGAGCTTTCCCATGGGTGCTGGAGCAGCAGCGTACAATGAAAAAGCAGAAAGCTGGAGGAGGTGGGTTTCTCCCATCTCTGGTGTCCCTTCTGCGGGATCTGGCGGGGGTCCTGGGGCCTGCCATCCCCCGGTGAGTGTGCAGGGTCGACCAGGAAAATTAATTTGTCCTGCGTTTCTGATTCTTTGTAATGCGTATTGCTGTTATTACAATTACTCGCTGCTAAAGTGTAAATCAGATTCTGAATTCAGGTGAAACTTGCCTAAGTCTTACTAACTTTTGAACTGTTATAATTCGCCAGCATTGGGACTCATTCCCTTCCTCTGACCGCTTGTAAACTGACGCTTGGGCTTTTCTGCCCTCATTCCTTGACCTGGCTAGCAGCTCTGAATCACTTGCTGCCCTGGGAACCAGGATTTAAAGATGGGAGGGAGGCCCTGACCTCAAGGGCTGTAAAAGGCAGGCAGACCAGGGATCCAAGAGCAAGATCTCTTAAGGCCTCCAGGAGAAAGTCTCAAGAGGCTGTGGTGGGGACAAGGGACAGGGTGGAGATGATCCGAGGCACAGGGACCTCTGTGAGCTGAGCACTGAGGAGGCGCTGAGCAGTGCTGTCCAGGAGCTAGCTAAGGGGAGTCCATGTTAATACTAAACATTTTAGTAGCTGCTTTTTAAAAGGATAAAGAAACAGGTGAAAATAATTTTAATGATATGGGAGCCAGCAGGTGGCATAGTGGTCAACGCTCTGGACTCCCATGTGGCCGACTGCAGGTCGTGTCCCTGACCCAGTAGATTGAAACACACTTCAGGTTGGTGCAGGCATGCCCAAAATCTGGAGATGAGAATGGAGGAAAAGGGATTACCAAGTGGCTCTCCCCAGGGGGGATGATTTCTCGTTTTCTTTCTCTTTGTCTCTCTGTCTCTCTGGTGAGTGCATCACCCTATAGCAAAATTCTCTTCAAAAAATAAAAATCAAAAATTAAATTAAAAAAATAATTTTAATGGTATGTTATATAACTTGATAGATCTAAAATTAAAATCATTTTGGCATGTAATGACATAAAGCCCATTCTTCTTGTCACGCTAAGTCTTTGAAATGCAGTGTTTTTCTCACTGACATCACATCTCAAATTCGTCAGCCTAGCCACAGGTCAAGTACTTAATGGCTACAGGTGGCCTATGGTCCATCTTGAACAGCACAGGTCTAGATGGTAAAAGAGCGTGGAGATCTGTGGGTAGAAACTGAAGAATTGTAAGCAGGGATGCAGGACAGTGGCATGCCAGATTTGTGTTTTATAAAGATGGTGGTGCTGACAATGCTGTGGAAAACACATTTCCAAGCAAGGATGAATGGAGGTAGAGAGGCCAGAGATAGGCTTTTGCACATGGCTGGAAATGAACCAGTCTTTGTGGGAAGCAATTTGTCTATAGAATTATGATTGCAGAGGGCTGACCCTGTGGCCTAAAGGTTAAAGGAGCTAGATCTCACATGACTGACCTTGCTACTTGGAATCCAGGCCTCTGGCAGCTTGAAAAACATGGAAGGCATGCATGTGTGCCCCAAATCTGGACAGGATGGAAAAATGAAGAAGGACTGAGGTGTAATCATGCCTCATGAGGGGCGCTTTTTCCTTCTCTCTTCCTCTGTCTCTCAGGCGAGGGTACTTTGCCCTCAGGACAGCAGGGGTGGGGCGCTGGGGGTGGGGGAGGATTATAATTGCATAGATTTTATGTCTCTGCGTTCCACTTGTAGGAATCTGTCCCCTTGATGTATTGATTCCGGTGTGAAGTGACCTAGGTATGAGTTTATTTTTTACAAACTTGTTTATAATAGTGAAAGACCAGGAACTTCTTAAATGTCCATAAAAAGGAGACTAGCAGCTAAATAATTTACCTAGACAATAAAGTATAGTGAGCAATATGAAAGGAAGGTGAGAAGGCTCTCTATGTGCCAATATGGAAAGATCCCTAGGATACACTGAGCGGGAAGGATAAGATACAGAAGAGGGTGTGTGAGAGGCTCTCTTATGTGTAAAAAGGCCTCTGGATGGATATAGGAGAAGGGCCAATTGCCTCATGGCCCTTCAGTGAACTTCAGTGAACGAGGAAGGAAGGAGTCTTTACACTTTCTAAATTGGAACTGTATGAATGTAATGATCATGCAAACAATAAAATGTCAAGTCAGATACATGTAAATCTTTGAATTGAGTGTACTGCCATAGCTCTGGGGAGAGGTGCTGAGACCCTGAGTGAAGCAGTGTCAGTGGACAAGGAGGGTGGGGGGATGTCAGAAAGTGACTTAGGTGATCAGACCCAGAGATGAGTTGGATATGGGACAAAAGAGAGATTCAGGAATAATTCCAGCATTTCTGATTTGAGTGGGTAAATGGTATATTATTTGCTCAGTTGTGAAATCTAGAAGGAAGCATGGGTTTTGGTGGGACTACTAGGGGTGGTAGGGGAGAGAAGGGGCCCAGTTATGCAGAGGCTGTGTTTGAGGGGACTAGGGGAAATCTGGTGGAGTGGAAAAGTGAAGCTCGGGAGAGCCGTAGGCTGGGAACACAGATATGGAAGCCATATTTGTGTTGATGAGTTGAAGCCACCGGGGTCACCCCAGAAGAGTGAGTAGAGTGAGATGACAGGTGTCTCTCAGACAGTATCTTGGGACAAAGGATTAGGGAGTAGACAGTGGAAATAAATCAGGAAAAAAGCTTGTAAAAGCAAAGTGGGAGATAACAAAGAGCCAAGGGAAGCTGGCATAGGAGGTGCCAAGAAAGCAGAGCATCAGGAGTCAAAGAATGCAAAGCTATAGAAAAGGGTCAAGTGAAGATTAGACTAGGAGATGTTCCTTGAGGTTAACCACATGGAGGACACTGACAAACAGTTTAGAGGAGTGCTAGGGGTGAATGGGAAACCAGGTGATAGTGGGCTGACCCAGCAGGTGGACAGGAGGACAGTCCACTGTTCTTTCCAGACATTTGGCTGCCCAAAAAGAGAAGTAGGAACCAGTAGTAGAAAGTTGGGAAAGCTTTTACTGTTATTGTTGGTTTTATAATGAGAGACATTGACTGTTTGGGCAGTATACTCCTTGTATCAAATTTCTTTTGTGTGAAATGATTGTCTCCCCCCACCGCCAAGTCCAACCCTGGGTCTTTAAGGAGCCTGATCTGCAGGCAGAAACAAGTGCAGCAACCTGTAAAGCCTGCAACGCAGAGGGAGTTTTCCTTCTTTTCTGAAAAAACAGTGCCCTCTGGAGGCCACAGTGCGTAGTGTCCTTTCGTATTTCCTGCTTGTACTGGGCTTGTTGCTTTTTCCTTGTCAAGTAGAGATACTAACCAGTACTCTGAGGCTGTGGATGGTTGCACAAAGTTTTTTCTATTGCAAAGACATTGGAAATCCTTTCAGAGTCCTGAAAATAGCAACAAGTATGGACAACTGTATCTTTAAAGATTTTTCCTCATCATTCCTCTGAAGGTTTGCCATCTTTCATGCCTACCTATTAGATGGAACATCAATAAAATGTCATTTTTTCCCCTGAGTTTCTAATAGTTATTTTCCTACATAATTAGGTCAAGGATATTTTTCTAACTCAGTAACACAAGGGGACTTCAAAAAGCTTTTGGAAAAATGGAGTTAAAGTACAAATTAATTTTCGTGTGAAAATAAAATCGAAATCCAATTGCATTTTCCATGGAATTTTTGATGCTCTCTCATCCACATTTCTCCCAGGCACAAGTAAAGTTTCTTTTTTCTTTAGACATTCTCCAGGGGTCTTCACTCACTCATAGAACTGGCTTTTCCTCACTGTTCTTGATTGGTGCGCTCCGTTTCCCCACCTTGTTACCATATTCCTCTTCTAAATATGTAAAAACCTGCTCCATTCTTTTTTTTTTTTTGGAGAGGTTTTCATTATAGGGAGTGTGTGCTTTCCAGACAGAAAGAGACATAGAGACAGAAAGCGAGAAATCACCTCCCAGGGGGGATGGTCACGCCACAATCCCTTCTCCTCCATTCTCCTCTGGGAATCTTGGGCACGCACGCACACGCGCCTGGAGTGAGTTTTAAGCCACCGGGTCCAGGACGTGAACTGCAGTCGACTACATGGGAGTCCAGCGACATAGCCATTACGCTAACTGCTGGTTCCCAAACCTGCTCCATTCTTTAAGGTCTGTCTCTGGTCTCCTTTTCTCTATAAAGCTTTCTCTGTTCCAGTTCATACAGTTCTTTCTCCAAACTGCCATTCTGTGTTCAATTGGAGCTTCTAGAAAGGACAGAAGGTAAATCATAACAACAACAGCCAAACAATGTGCATGTCTTCACCAATGAAATTAAAAACTATTCAGGATCAGAAATCACTAGTGGTCTTCCTAAGGTACCTTATTATCAAACTCCCTAATATTCTGGTCAATGTTAATTGTAACTTTTCTATCTGTTCCTGGAAGTAGACCACCAAACCTGGGAAAACAGCTTGTGCTTCAGAACCACAAAGAGAGCCTAAACGTTTAAAGACCCTCCCCAGGGACCTGGAGGATGAGCTTTCCCATGGTAAGAAGCAGAAATGTATAATAAATCATGACCCTTCATCAGCACATGAAGCTTTTCCTATAGCATGAAATCTGAGTTTTTCCTATAGCGTGAGGTCTTTAGTTACACATGGCATCCTAGTTTTTGGTTCATTTGTCTTTTTAAAATTCGTTTTTTTCCTTCAGAGAGAGAGAGAGAGACAAAGAGGAACATTCAACAAGGTCCTTATGCCACAATTTTCCCCAGCCCTGTAGCCAGCTGATGTTCAAAGTAGCTTTCCTGTGCCGTGTCTAGTATCATTCCTACCAACTGTGCCACCAGGGCTGGGCCTGGACTTTTTTTTTTTTAACCTTTTCTTTCTTTTTTTTTTTTTTTTCCAAGTTTGTTTATTTCGAGAGAGAGACAGAGAAAGGGACGCTTCACAGGCTCTTGTCGTGCAGTCATTCCTCCCCCTAATTTTCCAGCCAACCAGGATCCTGAGTGTGCCTGCAGGCATGCCCAGCATGTTCAAGTCAATCAGGGGTCAGAACCTGGCCCCTCCCATTTTCCTCCACTAATGGTGCAGTGGTACCCCACTGCTTGTGCCACCATGGCTGGGCCCTCATTTGGTTTTAGTAATCCATAGAAATTTTGTTCTTGGGCCAGTGAGTGGTATGGTGGGTCAGGTGGCTGAATCCTACATGGCTAACTTTGTAGTTCAAGTCCTCGACCCAGCAGCCTGAAAAATGCTATTGGTGCATATACGTGGATACCCAAGATCTCTAGAGGAGAATAGAGGAGAGGGGATTACAATAGTAAGGCTATCCTCCGTAGGGGGTGTCTTCTCACTTTCCCTCACTTTTCCTTTCCTTTCTCTGTCTCTCTCCAGTGAGCACATGTACCCCATAGCAAAAACTTAAAAAAAAAAAAAATTGTTCTTACACTATGTGGAAAATGGGGACTCAAGACCGTGCTAATCTAATCAATAGAGCAACTGGAGGATTGATGATTATTTTCTTTAACTTCACTTCAGAACCTTTTAGAATCTCTTACTCATTCAGCAGTTCTTTTTCAGGATGAGATAAGAAAAGTGATGGAGGAAGAATATAAACAAAGGGATAGAGAAAGGCTCCTCCTTTGCTAATCTTGAAAATTCCACATTAAATAGGCCATTGGAAGCCGGACCTTACTGGTGGGTGGCAAGTGCAGCTCTTGAGGCTCAAGTCCGCTTGTCTTCTGTTCTGTCTAGAGAAGCTCACCAGTCTTTGGAAATGGGAGCCTGTGTAAGAGTTCTGGGTCATTTTGGTCTGTGACCTTTGAGCCTTTTCAAGTGTTAATCTCCAGCCCTTCACCTCATTCAGAATGTATTGGACCCTAGGGAAATAGGATGTGTCAGTGTTTCTGGGAACACTTAGTGTTTTGTTTCAGGCACACAGATGAAAAAAAAAAAAAAGAAACGCATGCTCCCATCCTTCCCAAACTCAGTGCTTTGAGCAGAGTGTCTGTTGTTTCCTATTTTTTAGACTATTTGTTATCAGTAATCTGTAGTTATTCAGCTTAGGTTTTTAAAAATAACCCATTTTTACTTTTTTACAGGGTGCTGGAGCAGCAGCGTACAATGAAAAAACAGGTAGGATCACCTCGTTCTCACTCTTGTTTCAGAAAGTCTTTGCTCAGATCTTTCCTTAATGGAGAAAGGAGAATAAAGAAGGAGAATATCTCTCCCATGGGTCTCAGGTGGGTGACCGCAGGCCTCTGGAGACCCAGACCTGCTTCAAAGGCAGTGTGGCACCAGCAGGCGTGTCTCTCAGAGCCCCACCAATCCTCCTTTGCTCACAAGATATAAGACTCTTGGGCCGGCCAGTGGCATGTTGGTTAAGGCAGCTGAATTCCACATGGCCAGTGGCACGATTTGAGTCCCAGACCTGGCAGCTTGAAAGATACACCAGGAATGTGTGTGTGCATGCCAAAAATCTGTAGAGGAGAATGGAAGAGAAGGGATTGTGATCACCCTGGGGGGTGGGGAGTGCTTTCTCACTTTTTGTCTGTCTCTCTCCATTGAGCACATCCTTACAAAACAAACAAAAAATACTTAGATTCTTCTGACTACTGCCCTACAGCCAAAATTGGCCAAAGAGGTAGCCAATCAATCATTCTCTTGCTCAACAAATACTTAAGAGGCAAATGCTACCTGTTTAATCATAGGGGTGGCCCACTGGAGATTTTACACCAAAGCTCAGGCCAGTCCGGCCTGACTACCTGCTTGCTGCTTCTTTTGGATAATAGAGGCCACTGTAGTCTTCTTTCTGGGTGGTTCTGATTCAAAATGGGAGTTAAAGTAGAAATATAAGTAATTACTACATTTTATCCATTTTAGGGTGCACATTTCCCCCACATTTTAACATCTCAGAAATAGGGCTACTGCCTATCAACTGATGCCAGTTTAACTGGCATCATTTTCCTTTCCCAGAGGCACACAATAACAATGTCTTAGACTCCATGAGCTACCACACCACAGATTGGGTTCTCCAAGAAAAGCAGAAACTGAGATGGAGTTAGGAGTATGAACGTTTCTGTGTGAAAGGAGAAGAGGAGAAGCTGGATTGGGCAGGTGGAGACATCAGACAGCAATGAAATCCTGACAGTGTCTGCAGCCAGAGATAGCCAGTCAGAGGTGTCCTGTGTTGGGTACAAATGGCCTTGCTTAGCCTTTGCGCAGGGGTATCCCTGAGAATAGTGTGACCTTGGCTAGAAAGCTGAGATGACCCCAAGGAACTAACCGCTGAAGGCTGGCAGCTAACCTATTTCTCATGTCATAACTAAACTGAAAGGAACTGGAACAGCATACCCTGTCTGCTACATGCAATTGATCATTTTTATCATCTTTGATTCCACCCAACTGCACCATGAAACTAGAGTATTCTGAGTAATTAATTACTGTAGCAGACACTGTCAGTGCCCCACCCATTCGCAGGTCCGGTGTTGCCCCAAACTCTCCCCAATGAAGCAGTTTTGATCAGTGACCAATAGAAGTCAGAAAAACCTCCCCTAGCTTCAGTAACTACCCCTGGTGGTATAACCTTCCCTAGTGGAGCTACGCTCCATTTGCTGAATAATACACGTTTTATTCGTCTCCTTCCTTGATTCCATGTTCCCACCCTGCCCTCACTTCTCATAGTGTTTTCTTTTCCTCCTTCCCTTCCTCCCTTCTTCCCTTTCTCCCTCCCTCCCTTTCTCTCTCTCTTCTTCTTCTTTTTTTAAAGGTTTTTGCCATAGAGCATGTGCGGTTGGTTACCCAAGACAGAGAGAGGCAGTGATAGGGAAAGTAAGAAATCATCTCTGGGGGGGGATGGCCACACCATAGTCCCTTCTCCTCCTTTCTCCTCTTGGGATTTTGGGCCTGCATGCACTCGTGCCTGGCATGATTTTCAAGCTACCAGGTCCAGAACTCCAACCATGGGCAACCATGTGCGAGTCCAGCACCTTAACCACTATGACTCCTTCTAGCCTCTTTCTCTCTCCTTTTTTTTGGTAGAGGTTTTTGCCTTAGAGTGTATGCACTCTGGAGAGAGACAGAGAGGGAAAGTGAAAAATCACCCCTTAGAGGAACAGGTATGCCGCAATCTCCTCTCTTCCATTCTCCTCCCAGGATCTTGGGTGTGCACATGCATGCCCTTTTTAGTTAGAAGATTATTTTCCTTATCCCTGATAGGCCCTGTACACCATACCCATGAAAGAGTAAGTGAGAGCGGAAGCACCTACCACAGGGTCTGGTCATGCCTCGATTCCCTTTCTTCAGTCCTTTGGACTGTTGGGTCCTATACACTTGCACACATGTCTGGCATATTTCAGGCTGATAGAGACAGAGATAAGAACCATGGTTAAAACTGAGGTTGCCATGTGGGATCTGGCTTCTCTTGACCAACCCTTTAACCCTGTGCCACAAAGCTGGCCTTCCTCTGGTGTTGTATTCATTTATTTTAATTGCTGGAGGGCTTGTGCACTAGCCAGGGAGAGATAGTGAGAGGGAAAGTGAGAAATCAGCCCCCAAGGTGGATGGCCATGCCGCAATCTCTTCTCCATTTCTCCATCTTGCTGGGATATGCAGCAGGTATGTACACCCAGCATGTTTTTCAAGTCACAGGAGCAACGACTCAAACTCTGGTTAGTCATGTGGGATCTGGCTCCCTTAACCATTAGGCCACAAGGCTGGCCTTCTTCTACTGTTTTCTAGGATCCTATCTCAAGACAATTACTTACACTCAAATTTTTGTCATAGGGTCTGCTTTTAATGTAATCCTAACCAAGATGGTGACAAAAACAAAAGTTATGAATAAAGCCTCTATAAGAATGTATTTTGACTTATAGTTAAATCTTTTCCAATATAGGTGCTTTAAGTCATGGGTCTTCCTAAATTCACCATTTCTACATACATTTAAAAAATTTCATGAGGGCCAGCAGGTGGAGTGGTGGTTAAGGCCCCGGACTCCCATGTGGCTGACTGTGATTCAAGTCTCAGATCTGGCAGCTTGAAAATCATGCCAGGTGCATATGCATATATGCCCAAAATCCCAGGAGGAGAATGAAGGAGTGTGGCCATCCTCCTGGAGGGTGACTTCCCACTTTCCCTGTCTCTGTCTGGTGAGCACAGGTGTCCTATGGCAAAACCTTAAAGCAAAACAAAAAAAACACTCATGGCTCCCGTGCACAGTTTCGTGCCACTGTTATTGTATTATAGTAGCCACTACTTAGAGTGCAGATACTCCATACCTCAAGATGGCAAATTGGTCCTTAAGCAGAAGCTTAAAGACAGATGTCGGGACCAGCAGGTGGTGTGGTGGTTAAGGCGCTGGACACTCCCACATGGCCAACCGTGGTTCAAGTCCTGGACCTAGTGGCTTGGTTCCCCAATTTCCATCTCTCTCTCTCTCTCTTTGTCTCTCTGAGGTCAAATTAAAATAAATGACTGAATAAATTAAATTAAATATATAATTCTTTTTTTAAAAAAGGCAGATGTCTTGTGCACTGTGATGCCATAGTGTATACATTTTAGATACAATAGATATTTGTGACATCGCACTAGAATAATGCAATTCTGTCCATACAGAAATCATACATTAGATAAGCACCGGGAAGCAACAAGCACACAACACAAGAATGAAAATCCGGTACAGTCACTTTTATTATTCTGAATACTACTGTGCCTGCACAGCAGAGTACAGATTTAAATGACTTATGTAGGCTTGCGTGATTTTGAACACTTCACATAGTAAATACTAACTGGCTGCAGGAGCGAGACAAAAATGGGGCAAAGGGATTCTTGAGGCTCACACAGATTGAGAAAGGGACTCTCCCATGCTAGGGAACTTGTTGTAAGTCCAAAACATTGTTAAAAGGTGGGTCATCCAGTGAAAAGTGGCTATCTTAGTATATGCCAGACACTTACGCACTTTATGGGTGACCTGCTGTCTTGGTTCATTATGCATTGCTTAGAGAAATACCTGAGACTGGGTGCATTTAAGAGAATAGAGATTTGTTTGAGTGGCTGCTCTGGCTATGTGGCAAATCCGAAGGCATCACAAAGTGGTGGAGGGCAGGATCTTGAGCAGAGTAGCTATCTATAAGTTTTTGCCTATCCTCGTCTCTTTTCCCCTCTTCTATACACCCCGGAACTCAGTAATACTCAAAAGTCCCACCCTAAGGGACCAGCAGTTAGTGTAATGGCTATGTCGCTGGACTCCCATGTAGTCGACTGCGGTTCGAGTCCCAGACCCAGTGGCTTAAACTCACACCAGGCGCGTGTGTGTGCATGCCCAAGATCCCGAGAGAAAAATGGAGGAGAAGGGATTGTGGTGTGGGGAGTGATTTTTTGCTTTCTGTCTCTGTGTCTCTCTCAGTCTTTCTGACAAACCCACGTGCCCTATAGCAAAAACCTCTCCAAAAAAGAAAAAGAAAAAAAGTCCCACCCCGAAAGGGATTCGTTTTTCTCTTAACACCTTTACAATACAACCAAGATACAAGACATGAATTGGGGGGTGGGAGGATCCAAACTATAGCACCTACTATTGAAAATTCTTGGATATCCATTGTTCAGTTCCATGGCTAAGTGAAAGGAAGAAACAGGAAAGGGGGCTAGAGAAAGGGCCTCTCTTTTGTGCATAGGAAGCTCTCTCTCCTGGTGTAAAGTGGAATTACATCCTTTTCAAAGGAACCCTTGCTAATTTACTTTTTAATCTTTCCTTTTCCAGAGACTGACACGTTCAGAGAAAACTATAGTTGGAAAATTCCTATTACTCACAATGACTTCAAAATTTTAAAAAATAATGAAAGTCAGCTGAATGAAGTCCTTCGGCTTAAGTTTAACTGTGTCTCTACCCTGGTCACCCTAACTCTGGAAGGTAACAGAAAGTCTCTGCAGGCCTACAGAAAGATGCTGAGTCCTGGGCTAGAGTTATCTGTGTGGAAAGATGACCTCACCAGACATGCTGTTGATGCTGTGGTGAATGCAGCCAATGAAGACCTTCTGCATGGGGGAGGCCTGGCCCTGGCCCTAGTGAAAGCTGGTGGCCCTAAAATCCAAGAAGAGAGCAGAAAATTTGTTGCCCAATATGGTAGAATATCAGCTGGTAACATAGGTGTCACTGGAGCTGGGATGCTTCCCTGCAAAATGATTATCCATGCTGTCGGGCCTCGGTGGTTGTCAACTGAACATCAGAGATGCATTAGTGAGCTGCAATGTGCCATTATGAATGTACTGAACTATGTTATCTTTGGAAATGTGAGCATTGAGACAGTAGCAATTCCAGCCCTGAGCTCCGGAATTTTCCAGTTCCCTCTGAATTTGTGCACACGGGTCATTGTAGAAACAATCTGGTCTTATTTCCAAGAAAGGCAAGGAGTCAGTAAATTGAAAGAAATTCACCTGGTGAGCAATGAGGACCCTACTGTTGCTGCCTTTAAAGATGCTTCAGAATTACTTTTAGGACCGACAGAGCAGGTCCTCCAGATGAGTCGAGAAGCCATCCCTCCTTCCAACATGATAGTCATAAACAACCTAACTCTCCAGGTTCTTCAGGATCACATTGAATGGCAGAAAGTAAGTCTGTGTTTCTATTCTCTTGCACTGTCCAAGGGGATCCCTGAATTAAAAATTACCTGTGGAACAGTAGTAGAGTAGAAAGCATCTCATTAGGGTAAAGAGGTGGATTTCAGAGCCAGGCCAGGATTTCAGAGCCAGGATTTGAATACTAGATTTGCCATTAACTAACTGGGTGAACCAGAGCTGCTTAGTTTATCTTTGGGTCTTTGATTTCACCTACAAGCGAGTATAATGGAGCTGACCCTGTAGCCAGCCCTGTAGTTTAAGAGAGCCAGACCTCACATGGCCACCTGAAGTCTGAATCCCAGCCCTGGCGGCTTGAAAAACACACTCATGCACATGTGTGAGCATGTCCAGAATCCTGATAGGATGGAAAAATGGAGAAGGATCGTGGCATGACTATACCCCCTCAGAAGGTGCTTTTTCTTATCTATCTCTCTCTGGTGAGAGTGTGCACCCTCTAGCAATTAAAAAAAAAATAGGATAATAATAGGACTTATATCTTAATGCTGTAATCATACACATTAAATGCTGGAATAGTGCTTTAATAATTATTATTGCTATTGTTATTATTCTCAGGCACCATTAAGAAGTATAACATATAAGACCAGCAGGTGGCATAATGGTTTTGTCACTGGACTCACATGTAGTCGACCACGGTTTGAGTCCTGGACCTGGCAGTTTAAAACTCATGCCAGGCGCATGTGGATGTGTGCCCAAAATTCTGAGAGGAGAATGGAGGAGAAGGGATTGCAGCATGGCCATCCCCTCTGGGGGTGGGTGATTTCTAGCTTTCTGTCTCTCTCTCTCTGTCTCTCTGGCAAGTGTACATGCCCTACAATAAATATCTCTCCAAAAAAAAGTATAACAATCTTTGATCCCAACAACTTAAAATCTATTATTTCTTTATGTAAACATTTTTTTTATTTGAAAAATTTCACTGGGGACCCAAACCTTTTCAACATTTCTGAAGCAACCTATCAACAGCAAAGAAACATAATATTTAAGAGTATGTAAATTTGTGAGGGGAGTAGAGTGTAGATTATTTCAGAAGATGTGAGTTTTGAATCTGATCTCGCTGTAATAGGGTATGAATTAGCAGGAGGGAGAATTTTCTGCAAAGTTAGAGTGAATTAATCACAGACACAGAGGAATTGACAGGTGGAAAATCATGGGCCTGACTAGAATCAGGAGATGCAGGTAGAATGCTAAATCATATTCTGTGCATATACAGGGGAACTGAGAAGAATGTAAGGGGTACATTAGCATTTAGCTGGAGCACAAAAACGAGGACCCTGGCAAGGCGGAGAGGACATAGAGTAACAGTGAACCTGGGTCTTTTTGAGTTGGTCTAGCTCCCATGCTAGACAGAAAGCACTGTGAGGATGGGCGGCATGGCCTATTCATCTCTGTAGCTCATAGCCAGGTTTGGGTCTGCACCTAGGTATTCAGCAAATTAATGATGAATAAGTGGAGGGATATCAGAGAAATGAAGAAAAAGACTGCAACAGAGGAAGATAAAAATACAAACTTTATTCTTTTTCTTATCTTCTGAATCAGTAGTGCCACATTAGCAATCTTTCAGGGCCACAATCAGACTTAATCGTCAGTAAGGATACCACTTACTGCCTATAAAAAATTAGAAAGAAGACTGAGGGGACCTCATGAAATAAAATATTTGAGAAGTCATTAATATACCAATTTAAATTGAAAATGGAAGCATCCTAGTTGAATAACTTATCTCTTTAACTGAAATTGTTTTGTAGTTATTTATTGCCAATACTAGGAAACTTAAAACTTTTTTTTTAAAGATTTTTCTATAGGGCACATGCACTCGCTGGAGAGACAGAGACAGAGAGTGAGAAATCTCTCCCCAGGAGGATGGCCACAGTGCCGTCCCTTCTCCTCTGTTCTCTCAGGATTTGGGGCAGGCATGCACACATTCCCAGTGTGAGTTGTCAAAGCTGTTGAGTCTAGGACTTGAACTGAGGTCGACCTCATGGGAGTCCAGCACCTTAACTACTATGCCACCTGTTGATCCCAGGGAAACTTAAAGGATGTCAGTGCTCCCAGACTGCAAATTATTTATTTTTTTTTTGAGAGGCTTTTGCTATAGGGTGCGTGTGCTTGCCAGACAGACAGAGACAGACAGAGAGACAGAAAGCGAGAAATCACCCCCCAGGGGGTATGGCCATGCCACAATCCCTTCTCCATTCTCCTCTCGGGATCTTGGGCATGCAAGCACACGTGTCCGACATGAGTTTGAGCCTCCGGGTCCGGGACTCAAACCGTGGTCGACTACGTGGGAGTCCAGCGACATAGCCATTACACTAAATGCTGGTCCTCCAGATTGCAAATTCTAATAGCACTTCAAAGTGAAGCATTCATTACTATCTATAGGAAGCACCTAAGTTATCTCCAAAGGGAGCCAAAGCCATTCGGATGGTTGGGGCATTCAGGGATGGGGGAAGGAAGGTGTTCTTTAGTAGAGCTCTGAAAGCTAACTAGGAGATGATATTACAGCCCATGTGTGTGGATAGTCTATTACTAAAAAGACAGATGAAGAACTCAACTGGGCAAAGTGACTGCCTATAGGATAGGCAGGTGAGTCGGGGGTTCTGGGAGAGAGGCTTTTTTTAGTTGAAGACTTTTATCTGGGTTATTCTCTAATGCTATACTATTTACCTTAAGACATAAAACATTAGGAGATAGAAATTTTATCCTGTCTATTTAAAACAAAGCAAAAATCTACCCAGAAATAGCAACAAGTGATGGCAGTAGAACAGGGAATAAAACCACTTATAGGTAGAGCCTAAAACAAATCACAGAGCATGCTCAGAATCTACAACTATGGGAGGTGTAATCCAGCAAAGGGATAATAAGTGCTCGCAATAAAAATTCTATTGTCTGTCTATTCACAGGGTTTCTGAATAGGACAAAAGCTTCATGGCAATCAGATGATCACTCTTTAGTTATATGACGTTCTATTGATTATTAAATGAATTTTTGTAGATTTATGGATCTTTAGAATCTTTTCAAAGCCTTTCAAGAAATAAAGGTTTAAACTAATCATTTAAGACAGAATTTGATAATGAATCTTGTCCTTTTTTTCCCTTTTCAGACAGATATGATTGTTAATTCTGTAAGCCCATATAGTCTTAGAATTGGACCTGTGTCGAAGTCAATTCTACAACATGCAGGACCTGAAATGGAATGGGAATTTGAACAAAAAACTAAATGGCTTCACGGTTCCCCACCAGTAGTAGTCACAAAAGGATATAAGTTGTCCTGCCAGTACATATGCCATGTAATATGGCATACATCATATGCTCCCGATCAGGTAAGTTCAAAATCAGTGTATCTTTCTGTAGCTCCATAGTGTGTCCACTCTTTATTAGGTTTCTATTGTTTTGTCACATTCATGAAATATTGTCAGTAGTATAGTCCTCATTTTTTTAGCATGCCTGTGAATACCTGAAATACTACACAAGTAGAGTTGCCACAAGTTATGCTAAGAGGTTTAATTCATTTATTCATTTGTTTGTTTGTAGTTGCATGACGGGCCCTACTGCAGTCTCTTCTCCTCCATTCTCCTTTTGGGATTTTGAGCAGGCATGCACAAAAGCCTTGTGAGTTTTTCAAGCTGCCAAGTCCAGGATTCAAACCATAGTCAGCTACGTGGGAATTTAGTACATTAACCAGCATACCACCTGCTGGCTTCAAGAAGTTTAATTTAAAATATCACTGAATCGAGCTAAATTTTAAGTGGACATACTACAAATGGACAATGGAACATCAAGAGCTCCTTCAATCTGTGCAGGGCCCACCTTACTACGCCCAGTGTTCCTGCAGGGCTTTTCCTAAGTAAGAAGGGATTCAGCTATTCCATATTTCCCCTCATGTGTTAAATTCCAGGAAGAGCTGAACTGGGATTTTTCTTTCAGCATCATTCCAGTCAACTCTGTTGCCTGTCTTCCTACCTTGCCCACAGTGGAGATTGTCTCAATAGCCAACTCTTCACCTGGAGTACATAAAATCAAAAAGTTAGAGAACAATGTGGGCAGGCCAGTCCACATTGGGTAGCCCACTGGTTAAGGGAGCCAGATCTCACATGGCTGACTGCTCAGTTCAAGTCCTGGCCCTGGCAGCTTGAAAAAAATTCTGGGTGCATGTGAATGCATGGCCCAAATCTTCCCAAGGCGATAGAGACATGGAGAAGGAGGGATTGAGATGTGGCCATGCCCTGTTGTGGGGTGCTTTCTCTCTTTCTGTCTCTCTTTGGTGTGTGCATGTGTCCTCTGGCAATCAAAATGAATACATAAAGGCAAATTATAAAAAAAGGAAAAAAGATAGGGAAATCTGTGTAGATGCAGAAAGAGGAAAACTCAATCCCTTTCTCTGCCTTTATCATTTTCTCTTTCATTTTTCATTATTTCTTTTACTCTCTTGGCTAGAGATACCTCTAATCTCAAACTGGTCTTCTAGTTACTTTCTAGCCATTGGTTTTCCAAAGTCCTTCCACAGACAAACATTCTATATTCGTATTCGATTTGATGTAGAAAAGTTGTTGAAGGTTTAAATCTGCTGAAAGAATTAGCACTTACTCAGGAGAAATTACATAATTTTTTTGAAGTGTAGTCATTTGTGTCTTTCATGAAAGAGAGTAAGTGGGGGTCTTTACTCCACAATCTACCCCTCATTTTAGCCACCAGATGGATCATGTGCACTCCAAGTGCACACACACCTGTGAGCATGCCAGGCACTGGCACACATGTGCACCAAATGCTGAGGGAGATCCTGGGCCAGGTAAAGAACCCCAGACCTTTCCTGTGTGGATCCAGTTGCATCAACAGTGTTCTACCATCTTGCTCCATGATAGATCTTAATGACACTGGATACATTTTGCTTTCTTATTTATTTATTTATTTATTTATTTATTTATTTATTTATTTTAGATTTTTTTGCCATAGGGCTGGCCCCTATTTTTGAAATGTTTTTAGTTTTGCTATAGGGCACATGCTTGCTAGAGAGAGACAGATAGAGAGATAGAGAGAAAGGAAAAGTGAGAAATCATCCCCTGGGGGAATGGCCATGCTGCCATGTATTCTCCTCTTGGAATTTTGAGCATGCACACATACATACCTGGCGTGCTTTTAGGCCACTGGGTCTAGGGCTCAAACTTCAGAGTCAGTCTGTGGGATCCAGCACCTTAACCACCATACTACTGGCTGGGCCTGCTTTCTTATTTTAATCTCAACCTCCTTTATTAAACTCCAAGAGCTCTTATGTCTCAGAAGTGTCAGGAGTGTGGGAATAAACTGATAATTGACTCTCAGACTTGGGAGATAGGAAAGGCTACGTAAATGGAAGAAATCACAGTGCCCAGATGTTATGAATAATACAAAATGGGCCACTCAATTGCTTCAATTTCTCAGCCCTTTTATTCTCATCATCCAGCCTTATAGCTGTAGTGGGTTCCTTATGGAGTGAAACTCTTCCTGCCCTCTGAGGCGGCATGGTCATGACCCTGATGAAGAGTGGAAAATATCATTGCAAAATATGGGCAGGATCAATGGGTAAGCAAAGTCTTACTTTGTGCTCAAAGGCTGATTTTTTATTTTTTTAAGAGAGAGATTCTTTTGCTATAGGGAGTTTGCACTTGCTGGAGAGACAGAGACACAGAAAGCAAGAAATCACCCACCCCACAGGTGGAATGGCCATGTCTCAATCCCTTCTCCTCCAGTTTCCTCTTAGTATCTTGGGCATGCACGTATACACACCTGGTGTGAGTTTTAAGCTGCCAGGTCCAGGACTTGAACCATGGTCGACTATGTGGGAGTCCAGCAATGTAACCATTACACCATCTACTGGTCCCATCAACGGCTTATCTTAAATTTCTGTTTCTCCTATAGATATTGAAAAATGCAGTGGGGGAGTGTTTGAAGAAATGCATCGAGCTAAACAAAACTTCTATTTCCTTTCCTGCCCTTGGGACCGGAAACATTAATATGAGGAAAGATAAAGCAGTGGAGATTATGTTTGAAGAAGTTTTAAAATTTGCCAAAGACTGTGCAGAAAAAAAGCTAATAGTAAATTTTGTGATCTTTCCAGAAGAAATAGAGACGTATAAGGTAAGTTAGTATCTTAGAAATGTCTTACGGTTTGTTTGTTCACTCATTTAACGTCTGTTTAGTGTCTCCAATGTATGACACAGGACTAGGGGCTATAGAGTGTGGTGGCGTTCTTAGCCAAGTTTAATTTTTGTACACTGATCACGTCATACCCGTAAAGAATGTCATTATGGAAGCCATGTTTACCCTACTACGTTGCTTCTCTCTTTTTCTCTGTTGGCATTTATTCTTCCTTGTGCTCTATTAAGGTAAACAACCTCCTAGATTTGGAGAAAAGGTTTTCTGCTCCTTTCTTCTCTTTTCTACCAAGAACACAGGGTAGAAATTCTGTAAATTCTGTAAATTCTGCCACAGCCTCTGAAGTCCTCAGAAGATAGGATTGAACCAACTTCACACTCACATCCTCAACCCTTTCTCTCATTTTCACTTGGATAGCTGTCTTCTCAAATTTGACGTATTTAAAACAAATTTTATCTTCTCCTCTCCAATCTACCTTTTCCTCTCTGGAATTCCCATCAATCTTAGCTTTACCTCCTATGACAGTATTATCTTGGATAAGTTAGTTACTTATTTGTGCTGGGTATTCTCATCTTTAAAATGGGGATAATAACTACCCTCTCATGGAGCCATTGTGAGGATTAAATGAGTTAATAACTGTTTCTTAGTCTACTGTTGTGTGGCTGAGAGAAATACTTAAGAAAGGTGATTTACCACAAATAAAGGTTTGTTTGGCTTACAATTGTGGCTGGGAAGTCCAAAGGTGTTGAGCTGGTATCAGGCTGGCCTGTGGTGCTATGTCACAACATGGCTGACAGAAGCAGAGAGGATGAGGAGTTTATGCAGAAAGACCTGGGGGCAGCCACATTTCATAACCACCCGCTCTGCAGGAACCAACTCCTTCCCATTAGAGCTAGAACCTACTCTGCCTCGTAAGATAACAGTAATCTATTCATGAGGGTGATGCCTCCATGATCTGAACACCTCCCAGAGGTCTCACCACCTACCAACACCGTTACACTGGGACCAAATTCCAAAATGTCAACCTCTGGGGGACAAACCATTCTCTAAACCATAGCAATGTGTAAAATACTTAGAAAAATATCTTGCATGCGGTAAGCCTTCCACGAACATCAACTGTTATTGTATCAACTGAAATGAGTTATACTTTACTGAGTACTAAATTATAACTAAATGAATTGTTTATGTTTTCTTTCTAACTAGAATATAAGTTCTTTAATAGCAGGGTTATTCCCATATCCCCAGGATTGCCCTCAAATTTAATCTATTCCTTCTTGTCTGTAGGTGAAATCTGCTTTGTTCTAAAACAAAATGGAGGGATATATAAAGGAGTGTGTCTTGTGTCTGAGTGCAGAGATGTGCGTCTAGCTTCTTCAGTTTTCACTTCATCTCAGTTATTTTTTAAAGAATCATTCATTTAATTTGATTTATTATTGTTACTATTTTTTTTTTTAAGACCAAAGGAGGAGCCAGTGTTGGACTCCTAGAAGCCTGTGGTCTTTTGAGCTCCTGTATAGGACCATGAAGAGCAGGAGAAACAGAAAACTAAGAATTGATCAAGACATAGAGACAGAAAGCGAGAAATCATCCCCCAGGGGGGATGGTCACGCCGCAATCCCTTCTCCTCCATTCTCCTCTCGGGATCTTGGGCACGCACGCACACGCGCCCGGCGTGAGTTTTAAGTCACCGGGTCCAGGACGTGAACCGCGGTCGACTACGTGGGAGTCCAGCGACATAGCCATTACACTAACTGCTGGTTCCCTATTGTTACTATTTTTTAAAATTTTCTATAGGGCACATGTGCTCACCAGAGAGAGCGAGCCACCAGGTCCGGGACTCAAACCATAGTCCATCATGTGGGAGTCCAGCACCTTAACCACCATGCCACCTGCTGACCTGCATCTCAGTTATTTTTCTTTTTGAATAATTACCTCAGTAGGCTGAGTTTTTGACACATTAATGTGTCTCTGACATATTCAGTATAATTAATATATATTGCCATGCTGTTCTGCCTTGAAAGTACCAACCACCTCTTTGCTTTTTTCTTGCTTAGCTGGTATTTTCAAAAAAGACTTTAATGGAAGACCAGCAGTTGGCATAATGGCTATGTTGCTGGACTCCCATGTAGTCGACCGCGGTTTGGGTCCCAGACCCGGTGGCTTAAACTCACGCTGGGCGCGTGTGCGTCCGTGCTCAAGATCCCAAGAGGAGAGTGGAGGAGAAGGGATTGCGGTGTGGCCATCCCCCTGTGTGTGGGGGGGGTGATTTCTCACTTTCTGTCTCTGTCTGTCTCTGTCTGGCAAACGCATGCACCTTATAGCAAAATCTTCTCAAAAAAAAAAAGACTTTAATGGTATTAAGGAAAAATAAAAGGAAATGAAATTAAGATAGAGCAGTTTAAATAGGTTTTCAAAACATAGATTTCTGATCCTGCCAATAGCAGCGTCTAAGCTCTGAAGAGACTCCCCAGGCATGTGTCTGGGTTTTGGCTACGAAGGGTCCTGTTCAGTGCCTGGCTTTCGACATTAAGTGTTTGACCACTCACCTTCCCACATCCTGGCCTGTCTCCATATGTGTGGTTGCTATTTTATCTCTCCCTACAAGGAAATGAATTTATACTTGTTCCAGCTTGGTCTTTCTTGCCCAACTAGACACAGGGAGATTTGTAACATTTGCTGATTTCCATAGCTGATTCTAAGCTATCAGTGTGACATCACTGAAGGCTGAGCTGGGAGAGGTGTTCGCAGCAGGCTCCCAAGAGCCAATGTATATCGGCTCCGGCACACCACTCTGCTTCATCCACAGCCGACTGGCAAGGAGTGGCAAGTGATCCAGTGAAGTAGCTCACCTTCTTGTCCAAAGGAATCATCCTGGGCCAGCCCTGAAGTACAGTGGTTAAATGCGTGCATAGGAGCCAGATCCCACATAGCCGACCACATTTGACTCTCAGCCCAGAGACCTGAAAATCAATGGGAACCTGTGTGTACATGCCCCAGATCCTGTTGGAATGGGAAAATGGAGGAAAAGGATTGCAGCATGCCCATGCCCATATGGGAGGTGCTTTCTCTCTCTCTTTTTCTCTGTCTCTCTATCGCTGTCTCTGGTGAGTGCACATGCCCACAGCTAAAGAGAAGGAAAAAAAGAGAGAGAAAGAATCATCCTGTCCTTCAAATAAAGTTCATCAATTCATCCCAAGCAGACGACTATAACTGGGCCCAGTTAGGTGTCCTGAGCATGTCCCTCCACTCTTCACAAAACACCATATATCCGTACAACAGATAACCCACATCTAAGGAAGAAGATCCATTCTCTCAAACAAACAAAAATGTGCATGGCAGTTTAAGGAGAGTGGAATGGTCAACTGTAGTCTGGAGGTTTCTCTGGGGGCTAGTGATGAAAATAGCTAACATGTCCTGTGTTTGTCAGGCCCTGTGCTAAGAAGCCACTTCATTCCATTCTCCCCTCAATCCTGTGGTGAGGTCACTGTTGTTGTCTCTGCTTCACAAATGGGAAAACATAATGTGTGCATAGCTAGTCGACTGGCCAAACCAAGATTCCAGTCTGGGTCTGTCTTTCTGCCCTCAAAGCCTGTGTTCTCGACCACTAGGCAAAAATACAGAAAAAAAATCTGAGAAATGATATCTCTTCCAGTTTTAGAACTCAAAGGAGAGGATCATCTTAAACAGTAATTTACATTATCTAGTGAACATTGACCATTTCTTCAGGCTTTTTTTCAACATTGTATTATTTACGCATGGAGAGGTGATATGTGTGCACACACATGTATGTGCATCTGGCCTTCTAATAAGCATCTTTTCTTCCTGAATAAGTCTTGCAATGAGGGTGTGTGTCAGAGAACAACTTACATAAGGCCTCGCCTAATGGGTTTGTTAGAAAGGCTGCTGCTTGGCCTTCAGGCTAAGACTCAGTACAGAGATGGCTGACTCAGGAAGAGCAACTTACACTAAACTTACAGGAAAATGATGTTTATGTTCATATACTCATATTATTAAATTTGGAATTGACAGGGAGTAAATAATTCTACAGCTGATTGAAACCGTTTATTCAACAGTATTTCATGATGACAAACTTTCTGGGTAGCGTTGAGTATCTTTGAAAGGTAATAGCTAGATATTTAAAAAATACTTATTACATATCTCCCTTGTGCCATGAATTATGTCTCAAAATAAGGAACCCCTCTATAGGATGCATGATTGACATCTGTCAGGTCAGGTTAGGCACTCATGGACAAAACTAGAAAAACACTGCTGAATTCTTGCTATGGGGGTCCACTTTTCCAAACTCCTTGTAGACCACTTGCTTGTTATCCATACATTCTTCCTTCAGTGTTGTCATTACTAAGTTACAGTTTTCCTTCACTTTCAAAACCCTTGCTAATAAATTCTTACCCTGCAACACATCCTGTCTTTTTTTTTTTTCCTTCACAGGGCACGTACACTTGCCAGAGACAGAGAGAATGGGAGTGGATAAGAAATCACCCCTCCAGAGGGATGGCCATGCTGCATCCCCTTCTCCACCATCCTCCTCTCAGAATTGTGGGCATGTATGCACACACACCTGGCATGCTTTTCAAGCTGCTGGGTCTGGGACTCAAACTATACAGTCAGTCATGTGGGATCCAGTCACCCTAACTGCCACGCTACTGGCTGGCCCACGTCCTGACTTTAAAAAAAATATTGCCAGAGGACAAGAGAGACAGAGAAAGAGAATGAGGGAGGGGGAGAAAGCATTGGGGGCATGGGGCGTGGTCATGCCTCAATCCCTTGTCCTTCATTTCTCCATCCTTGTGGAATTTGGTGCATGCACCCACATGTGCCCAGCGTATTTTCCAAGCTGTTGGGGCTGGACTTCGAACCATGCAGTTTGTCCTGTGGAATCTGGATTCCTTAATAACTAGGCCACAGGATTGGCCTCACATCCTAACTTTTTTTTTTTTTTTGAGAGTTTTTTGCTATAGGGCACATGCGCTTGCCAGACAAACAGAAAGAAACAGAGAGATAGAAAGCGAGAAATCACCCCCCAGGGGTGATGGCCATGCCGCTATCCCTTTTCCTCCATTCTCCTCCTGGGATCATGGGCACACACGCACACACGCCCGGTGTGAGTTTAAGCCACTGGGTCTGGGACTCGAACCGCGGTCGACTATGTGGGAGTCCAGCGACATAGCCATTACACTAACTGCTGGTCCCCACATCCTAACTTTTAAAGTGACTTCTGGAGAGGGCAGATTTGTGATTGTCTGTAGTAGCTCTTATTAACCTATTTATCAGCAGATAATGTTAACTCATTTGTTTTATTTACAAGTTCTTAGCTGAGGAGGGCAAGGAAGTACCCTGTTATAACCTTTCCAGGTACTAAACATGGTAAGAGTGAGGGCTTTACACTCTGGAAATACCAATTGCAAATACAACTTGTGGAAAAAATATAGATTAAGAAATTTTATTAGGGGCCAGCAGGTGACGTGATGATTAAAGCACCAGACTTCCACGTGGCTGACCGCAGTTCGAGTCCCACCTGGCAGCTTGCTTTCTCACTTTCTCTGTCTCTCTCCTGTCTCTCTCTGATGAGTACATGTGCCCTGTAGCAAATTTTTCAATAATAATAAATAAAATTAAATAAATAATTCTTAAAGAAAAAGAAACCTCATTAATCCTATAGGTTAAGAAACTTCATTGTTAAAATTCAGGTCCCACCTTTTATAAAATTAAAACTGTTTTTCTATTTGCCAGAGTGCATATGTGCTTGCCAGAGAGAGACAAAAAGAGAGAGAGAGAGTGAGAAAGCGCCCTTCCCCGTGGGGGAATGGTCATACGATAGTCCATTTTTCACCACATCTCCCTCTTTTTAAGATTTTGGCATGCACACACATGCACCCAGTATGTTTTCTATGCTGCTGGGTCTAAGACTTGAATCACACAGTTAGCCCTATGGGATCCAACCCCCTCAACCACTATGCCCCTGGCTGGCTCCAGGCCCCACCTTCAACACCATAATCAGATTAGGTTTTCACCTTCTTAAGACCATTACGATGGCTACACACATGAATTTTGGAAGGACATATTCAAACTATACCACTACTGATGAGTGGCAGTGGGAAGGGGGACTGACAAGGTGGATGGGGTCAAGAGTGGTGCTATATTAAGGCAGATCTATCGGTAACAATGACTGTGAAGTCTGTGTATGACTCTGCTCTGTTTTGCTTCTTGCAGGTTTTCATAGCTGAAATGGAAAAGGCCAAGAAATGGAGTCTCAGCAATTATAGTGGTGAGTAGAAAATTCACAGGCCTAAGTCGAGTCTCCCATCGTCTATTCATTCTGTGCTCAATCATTTGAACTGATGGAGGGGAGAAGAAAAATAAACCAAACACATTTCACTGTGCTGCTGCTTGGCTATCAACCTGCTCTATACCTGACCATGACCCTTCCTTACTCAGTCCAGTTACACGATATGAATAGAGGGAGGCTAAGTTAGAGCGGATAATTCAATGTGGCTAGTTCATTCACAAATAGATGTCTAATTTCTTTGAACAACAACAACAAAAATGCTGCCTTTCATAACCTGGCTAAGCCAGTCACCCTCTGTTCTGAACACCTAATGGGGCTACTCATCAATAATCATAGAAAACACATCAATAATACCAGATAAATGGTTTAACCTAGTGCTACCCAAACCTGAGTAGTCACTGAGATCATGATGGCAACTGAAAAATGAACACACACAGATGAATATGGGCCTTAACCCTGCAGATTGTGATAAAGAAAACTCGGATCAGAGCCAAGCATGTGTACTTTGGAATGTTTCCTAGTCAGTGTTGCTGCTGAGTCAGGTCTAAAATTACTGGACTCATCCAACCCTGGTCGTTGAGGGTTGGGGCCGTACTGGGAGTGATGAAGGGAGAACTTTAAGAGCTCTAATTTGTTCCCGTTATGAGCCAATTTATCTGTAAAAATATGATAATAACAGGCTGTTGTGAGGATAATTGGATATTATGCATGTAAAAATGTTCTGTAAGTTGCGACTTCATTCTATAAATAATGGGCAAGAAGATGGACAAACTGCTCAGGTGGCCCAGAGAAAGGAATGATTCCCTCTGGCTGGAAAGGATCAAGAATAGTTTCACAGACAAGATGGTTCTGAACTGAGCTCTGGGGATGGCGAGATTGTCAACCTCTAGAGAAGGTGGAGAGGGGCACCCAAGGTGAAGAAAATCCACAGAAACAAGTAAATCCTGTGCTTGTTTGGGGAACCACAGGGAATCTGGAGTGCTAGATAAGGGGAGGAGTTTCAGATGAGGTTACTATAGGAAAGGAACATACAAAGGCCTGTATGTCTTCACTCTGAGGAAGGCAAGTGTCACCTTTCGGTAATTCTTGAGAAAGTCTGTAAAGGAATTATATAGCATAGGATAGTAACTGAATTTATAATGATTAATGATGGTCTCAGATTATCAATGAATGGTTAAACTAGGAAGACAGAGAGGTGTGTTTCCATTAGAAATATTTAACTAATAAATGGTTAGGATCAAATGTATTTTAGAGCCATCAGGTGGCATAGTGGTTAAGATACTGGACTCCCATATTGTCATCAGTGGTTTGAGTCCTGGGCCTGGAGGCTTGAAAATCATGCTGGGTGCTTGTGTGTGCCCAATACCCCAGGAGAATGGAGAAGGAGGGACTGTGGAGTGGCCATCCTCCTTGGGGGGTGATTTCTCACTTCCCCTCTCACTGTCTGGACTCAAACTGTGCAGTTGGTCATGTGGGATCCAACTGCTTTAACCACACCACCAGCTGGCCCAGCATGTATTTCTATAATCAGAAATTCTTATTTATTTTTTAAAGAAAAACATTTTCACTCTTTTTGTGGAGAGGTTTTTGCTATAGGGCATGTGTGCTCACCAGAAAGAGAGAGACAGAGGGTCAGAAAGTGAGAAATCTCCCGGCGTGAGTTTGAGTCACTGGGTCCAGGATTCGAACCATGCTCAGCTACATGGGAGTCCAGCAACATAGCCATTACACCATCTGCTGGTCCCAACATTTTTACTCTTTTTTTTTTTGGAGAGGTTTTCACTATAGGGCGCGTGTGCTCGCCAGACAGACAGAGAGAGACATAGAGACAGAAAGTGAGAAATCACCCCCCGGGGGGATGGTCACGCCGCAATCCCTTCTCCTCCATTCTCCTCTCGGGATCTTGGGCATGCACACACACGCGCCCGGCGTGAGTTTTAAGCCACCGGGTCCGAGACGCGAACCACAGTCGACTACGTGGGAGTCCAGCGACATAGCCATTATGCTAACTGCTGGTTCCCCCAACATTTTTACTCTTAAGTTCTATGTCTTCAGGGACGTTTGATTTTAAACCAGTAGTAGCAAAAGTTTAAGAAAAATACTATTAGGCAGGAAATAATGGTTAGCATCTAGAGCAAGATCACAGGGTGAACTCATCTGTGAATTAACAAATACAACACAGCAGAGGCAAGATATGATAACCAACTGCTTTTGAGCTAGTCTCTGCATTCCCTAGAAGCTGTGAGCTCTACATTTAGATGTTCTTTACCTGCGCTTAGCCTTTGGAGATAAGTACTTAATTGGATGGAGTTGCCACTTCTGACAATAGTGACAGTATCTTGGAGTAATCACTGGCCATGGGGTTTTGTTCTGCACTATTTGAAAACCCACCAGCCTACCTTACTTCTGATCATCTTTTCAGTCCTCCCATCCAGAGAAGAGAGAGGAGAAAACGGTTTTGAAGCTAGTTCTTCTGTCATCAATCTAATGGGATACAAAAACGAAGAGATGTGTGAGGCCAAACTGTGGATTGAAAGGCTACTGACCCTCCGGGACCACCACATCATTGAGAATAATCATATTCTCTACCTCGGGGGAAAAGAACATGACATGTTGTCTCAGCTTCAGAAAACCTCAAGTGTCTCCATCTCAGAGATTATCAGTCCAGGAAAGGCACATTTAGAGATTAAAGGAGCCCAGCCTGATCTCATTGAGGTGGTTCTGAACATTGAACAAATGCTATGTGAGGTTCAGGAGGAAGTAGCAAGAAAAAAGGAGCGAGGCCTTTGGAGCCTGTCAGGTAAGTAACTTTCTGTACTACAAAGTCTGTTCTCCCAATGAGAGCAGGTGTGAATGAGTACATATGTATGGGTGAGAGAAGAGGTGTGAGTATGTACGTAGGTGGGTGAGACCCACAGAATGGGAGAGGAGAGGACAAAGCATGTGTTAGGCCATAAACTTCCATGAGCCTTTTTTTTGCTCTCTACCCTCAGGGTTATGTATTGGTAAATGAACACACAGGCGTGTATGTATGCACACACACTCAGTTGGATTTATTTATGATGACTTGAAGTGCCGAAGAGGTAATTACATGGAAAACCGAGGCTAAAATTCAAGCCTAGGCCCTGGGGAAAAAAAGAGTACATCCCTAATTCTGCAGAAGGAGCATCCAAATGTAGACACAGCCCACCTGATTAATTTATGCTGTTAGAGAGTTCCATTGCATTTATTTGTTGTGGACAGCTTTAGGGACCCTAAAATTACTCACTTATAGCCCTTTCATCAATGAAATGACCCATTGGCATTGCGAGGTATGCTCCAGTATCTCCCAGAGTGGAGCTGCATTCACCAGATAACTGTTAACCGTGGGAATTAGGGTCTGGGGAGGTCTTTTTATCAGAGCAGTAGAGCCAACCAGGAAATTATACCATTTAAAATGCCACCCCAGGAGTTAGAGGATTATTTCATTCTTTTATTCCACTAATGCCAATGGGATACAAAAACGAAGAGATGTGTGAGGCCAAACTGTGGATTGAAAGGCTACTGACCCTCCGGGACCACCACATCATTGAGAATAATCATATTCTCTACCTCGGGGGAAAAGAACATGACATGTTGTCTCAGCTTCAGAAAACCTCAAGTGTCTCCATCTCAGAGATTATCAGTCCAGGAAAGGCACATTTAGAGATTAAAGGAGCCCAGCCTGATCTCATTGAGGTGGTTCTGAACATTGAACAAATGCTATGTGAGGTTCAGGAGGAAGTAGCAAGAAAAAAGGAGCGAGGCCTTTGGAGCCTGTCAGGTAAGTAACTTTCTGTACTACAAAGTCTGTTCTCCCAATGAGAGCAGGTGTGAATGAGTACATATGTATGGGTGAGAGAAGAGGTGTGAGTATGTACGTAGGTGGGTGAGACCCACAGAATGGGAGAGGAGAGGACAAAGCATGTGTTAGGCCATAAACTTCCATGAGCCTTTTTTTTGCTCTCTACCCTCAGGGTTATGTATTGGTAAATGAACACACAGGCGTGTATGTATGCACACACACTCAGTTGGATTTATTTATGATGACTTGAAGTGCCGAAGAGGTAATTACATGGAAAACCGAGGCTAAAATTCAAGCCTAGGCCCTGGGGAAAAAAAGAGTACATCCCTAATTCTGCAGAAGGAGCATCCAAATGTAGACACAGCCCACCTGATTAATTTATGCTGTTAGAGAGTTCCATTGCATTTATTTGTTGTGGACAGCTTTAGGGACCCTAAAATTACTCACTTATAGCCCTTTCATCAATGAAATGACCCATTGGCATTGCGAGGTATGCTCCAGTATCTCCCAGAGTGGAGCTGCATTCACCAGATAACTGTTAACCGTGGGAATTAGGGTCTGGGGAGGTCTTTTTATCAGAGCAGTAGAGCCAACCAGGAAATTATACCATTTAAAATGCCACCCCAGGAGTTAGAGGATTATTTCATTCTTTTATTCCACTAATGCCTGTTGCATCATGCCATGTGTCAAGCATTGTGCTAGTTGCAGGGAATACAGAGATACACAAGATGGACATTGTTCCTGCTCAAAGTCTAACTGGGAATAGTGACAAGCAAGCAGATTAGTTATGAGAGAGGGCGGTGAACGTGCTCAGGGAGCACAAGGTGAGGCCCTGAAAGGTCAGGGATAGGATTCTCCCAGGAGGAACAGAATAATAATAAATAGGTATTGACCAGGCAAAGAAAGACTGTTTCAAGAAACAGGGCTATAGTGGGGGCTACATTGTACGAGACCTTATAAAATCACCTGAAAGAATTCAGTGCTTTTCTTGAAACAAATGGGGAACCCTGAAGGGTTTTACGCAAAGAAAAGATCATATTTGTGTTACAAAAAATCACTGGTTGTAATGTGGAGATTGGATCTAGTAAGAGGTGCAGAAATTTGGATGCAGTGTCTCAAAGGAAACAATGTTCACTTTGTGTTTTTCAAAATAATTCAGGAAAAACAAATCAAAGTAATTAGGAGTTTATGATAAATATTATGTCCACATTCTACAGAAAACCCACTGTCAAGAAACAGAGAAAAATAAATACACAAGAATGAGAACCAATATTAGCATTTCCATTTAAGTTTTTTAAATGTACTGAATATAAATATTTAAACTGACCCTTGGGTCAGCTCGGGAGCATGGGAGACAAACCCTGGTCTCCTAGAAAGCTTGTGGCATGACTTTAAACTGGCTCCATTTGTAAGGGTGACCCATCTGTCAGCTATTGGCAGTTTAGAGTCATGTCAGTACCTTGTTCTGCTGCAAGATGGCATTTTTGGAAGTTGATGACTAAGCACATTATTCCACAGCAAAATTTCAGACTCACCCTCTCTTAATCAGATGAAGATCTTTATTAATAAAATGGATCCTTTTGAGATGAGTTATCATTATAGCGAACATCAAATATCCATCAGAACAATAAATTTTTTAAAAATACAAGTTAGGCATTACCTCCCTTTTATGTTGCTCATTCATCTTTCCTGGTGAGCATTCCTGACAGGACAAGGTTGTAGATCTCTGGGTCCCCAGTGCTTGGCAAACAGTAGGAGCTTGGTAAATGTTTGTGAACTCAAGTGAACTGAACTCTAATATTACACCTTCTAAATGCTATTGCTCTCCAAATTTGATTTACAGTCTCTTCCTTTAAAGCGTTCTGGCTTCAGAGCTTCTCTGCTATAGGGTTTTGTCTCTCCTGCTTTTTCTCAGATTTACAGCCTGGCCTTCTAGCAAGTGTCTCTGGATTTATCACCTGCTCTGTATGGTTCAATCGTACCCACTCAATTAGTTAATATACTGGGGTCATTTTAATATACTTCGTCTTCAGTCAAACTGAAAATAAACTGAGGAAAAAAAGCCTTTTTCTGGTTTTCACTTGTCTGCCTGTATTTTTGCTCCAATAAGGAGGTCCTTTGCACAAAAACAGAGCGTTTTTTTGAATTTGAAAAAAGAAGAGAGGAAGGAAAGAAGGAAAGGAGGGAGGAAGGGAGAAAGAGAATAAGAATAAAGAAAAGAAAGGAGAGAGAGAGGAAACAAAGTATCATAGACCACTAATCTCCAGATTTTGATCTTCTTGACCAGGTGGTATATGAGCTACGTGGTCCAAGCATTTTGCCTTGTCCCCTTACAGAAAGCACTAGTTAAAGCCAGGTTTATAATCTTGGATCTTTACTTACTACCCTTTCTTTACTTCTTAGACAAGCTACTTAACTTTTTTAAATTTCAATTTCCTTACTTGGAAAATTGTATTAATTATTTCAGTGGTGGTGCTGCAATGATCAAATGAGATGTGCAATCTCTTTGAAAACTTGGAAGCATTCCATAAATGTCATACTGTTTTTCATCATTCCTTAATGTCTTCTTATGCCTGTCTCTCTTGGCTGATAGGCATTCTGGCTAGAAATATAAACCTTTTTTTTTTTTTTTTTTTTTTAGTTTTCCCCAAGGACACATCGCACCCC